TACCCTTACTTTTATACATACAAAGACTTCATTGAGGAATGAGGGTATAGCAAAACAATAACTGATTCTAGAGACAAACAGTCTTTTCTCTCAGCCTGATGACGTCCTACAAATGTTTGTAGTCTGGAAGTAAAAGTTCAGTACTATTAACCTTAGCCTCGGGTTTCCAGGGTCAGGGGCCACATCCGGCATGCGAGACAATTTCGAAAAGCCCCTAACATGTTTAACGATAATTATATTTTAAATCAATGAGGCAAAAGTTGACGTTTCATTGTAATTACTTGTGTATGCTGTGCAGTACTTGGGTATAATCGAGGTAGTAACTTTCGCACATTTGCTTTAGCCGGAAGGTATTAGAAACAAAACCAGGTTTAAAATGAAAATGTAATGTACTTTTCCTGTTGAATGTGACTTGTTGGTGTTATAGCTCCAACACACACTAAAGGTACAGTACATGAATGAAGTCTTGTGGCTCCTAGTCATGATCCTGGAGCAGCCTGTCTGTCGCCACTGCGCCTCAAGGCTGTATAAGTTTTATCACAGGTCGCCATCAGCCTCGATGCTTCTTTTTTAATGGATCCTAACAATGTGGCCTGTGTGTGTTTACTCTGCAAGGCCTGGCTGCCATGTATGGATATATGCAGTCACACTGACTCGGCCCATGGATAGGAACTGCACTATAAACATGTTAATAGAGGTAATATTTCACATCACACTGACATCACATGTTGCTATAGTTAACCACACACAGGGCTGAAATATATGAGAGAAAATGTCCATCTGACCTATTTTAAATATTTACATTGAGATTTATTTTAGAAGTGTAATTATATTTGTGCTCCAATGTCATTCAAAATCCAAAGTACAGTAAGTTCGACAAAAGCAAAAGAAGTCAACATGTCAAAGCGTCCTTGGGCAATCTTATATAAGTTGCTTTGGATAAAGTTGCAGCTAAATGACATGTCATACTTTCTATTTCTTTCTTTTCACCATTATGCTGCTGCTGGCTGTGCTGAGATAATTCAAAGGTGGTTCCCATGCTGCAGTTTTATTAAGGCTCTATATTATCACACGTACTGTCCATTATAAAACTCCACCTTCTTAGCTGCACAAAGCTAATACATAAGAAGTGGAAAGTCCGAAAATCACTGTTGTTTTTGTGCATCTGGTTTTAAAAATATCACAGACCTTCATGACAGAAACCCAACGAGAAAGGTCTTTTTGTTTCATAACAACATTGAATTAAAGGCATTAATAAAGAGTTTTGCTTTTCATTAATGAAGTTAGGCTAGATAAAGAAGTCATCTGACACTCGTTAAAATAAAATACTAGTATCTCTCTTTAATCAAGTCAAACATTTTGATGTGTGGCTTCTTATCTGTTCAACAGTCTGAAACACAAATTCTAATTATTGTCTCAAACAAACAAACACAACCAGAAAATAATCACATATCACATGCTTGAATCTTGGCCTTTTTGCTTGAAGAAATGGTTTAAAGGACTAACTGATTAATTGTTGCAGATAAATCTACAACTTGTTTTGACTCTAATATATATTGACTCCCCGTAATCAAAGGAACTAATCCACACAAACCACATTTGTGCACGAGGTTGGGGATGTTCCCAAGTTAATTTAGCAAAAATATCAAACTTTGACAATAAATGTATTGTTACTCAGGATATAACTTTTGGTCTGCTCGCTAAAAAACAACAACCAAGAACTGAAGTTCAAACTCTCTTTAAATTAGATCTTTTTTCTACACCAGCTAAACTTTTCCCTCAACTCCAACCCTGCATTTCCTCCCATACTCTCATATCTGTAAATCTGAGTCCTTCTGTCTGCTCTGCTTTCATAAACTCTCAGTCTCCAACCTGCCACCTGTTAAAATGAAAGTAGCCATACTGCAAGCTAAAACGGCAAAAACATCAGTCTGCTTCCTCTTTCTGTGCAGGCCACAGTTTCCTCTGTGGCACTACTTGAGCGAGACTTTTTTTTTTTTCAGCCTGTATGCATTCAGAGTTTTCATGCGTGTAGCTTTTCTAAACTGGATCACTGATCTGCTTGATATAGAAAGGAGTCAAGTAAGGAAAGACTTGAGCTGCTTGACTCTGAACTTATAAGAGAATGGAAGCATACAATTGAGTTCTAGCTGATCAGCTCAGTGTACTCTCATGACTAATCAGCTGACTGTCCCGACAACATCTTTAGGTTTTATAGAAATTCAAAGGAAAATGTGAAAAGAAAAAGAAAAACAGAAGCTACAACAATGCTCTTTGTCTACGGATTGGACAGGAAGCCTAACAATTACAAAAAAAACAACACTCATTGTCTGCTCCGATTAGTCAATAGTAATAACATTTAGTACAACAAGTAGTACAACATTTGTAAATTGTGTAATAGTAAAAAATTAAATGTTTTTTTAATGTATTAACAAATCATAAGATGAATTGATGGATACATTATATTTATTTATACATAGTAACTTGAATTGTTGGTTTGAGGATTCTTGAGTTGGGTTTATTATGAAATAAATATATAATTAGTTTCTGATGGCTTATAAAACTGTTTCTTCTGCTTAACCTTTACAAGGAAGTTGAGTTTGGAGGGAATTCATGATTTCTTTAGGCAAAAAGCATGACTTATACACATTTCAAGGACTTGCGCAAGGACATTTGCAACACAGTTTAGCAAGAATAAAAAATGACCTGCACCACCATGAAGACTATCTGAAACAAGCTAGCTAGCATTAGCTATTCTGCTAGTAAGTGTTCATTCAGTTAAGTTTCATATTTGTTTTAATAAAGTCAGATGGTGGTATTGTTTTCTAAGCTGCTTTAAGGAAGGCCATGTGTATCTGCTTTCTGGAGTACAACAATAAGATTGATACCACTCGCAATTTGCGAGTTAGCTGAGAGTAGCATAAACAAGCTAGCCTCACTCTGCCTATAGGGGTGCTCTTTACAGGCACAAATAAAGATATCAAGCGTATGCATGAAAGGATATCTGTTTTTGTACAGCATCAGAAGGCCACCACTGCACCACATGGTTCATATAAACTCAGTGAAATGTAATAGGTAAATAAATACTAGAAAACATACCAGTACAGTATCTAGCATAGTGTAAGGAACATTTACCTGTAACACTAAACAGACACCGCACCTGTAAATTATATATATTTATAAAATCTATTGATCTTTTAAGATAAGATAAGATAAGATAGTATTTATTGATCCCAATTTGGAAAATGTTTGTGTTGCAGCAGCATAAAAATACATGGCATTGTACAATAAAAATTAAAAGACAAGAAATAAACAAGAAATGTTATAACCATTTTATAAATATTGGCAATATTGGAAATAAAATACCAAGTCAAAATTGTTGTATGTGTACATAAACTTGGCCAATAAAGCTGATTCTGTTTTCTGAGGTGTTTGAACCTCAAGGCCACCATATCCACATCTGAAATGATGACCCTCGGCTCTTTCAATTACAGATGCTGCTGTGTATGCTTTGACACCACTAACACTGGGGGAATAACGAAGAGCATTGCATAAGATGAGCTATAACCAAAATCTATACATAGAGTAGTCCTGGAGTAAATTGTATATGTATAGCCCATGTCAGGAGGCATTGTTGGGAATTTCCCTGAACAGAGAAAAAGAAGAAGTGGCAGGAATAATCTGTCTTTGAATATAACTTGAAATGTAATTTGTTAGAGAACAGTAAAGCTCAGTTCCCATTCTTTAATTCAATTTGGTCTCTCCATGAATTGGCTCAAATCTCTCTCTCTTTCTCGCTTCATTTAAAATCAGTTTTTTGTTTCTCAAGTCGAGTTTTTTTCTCCTATGTGTGTGTATGATGTACTTGAGTTTAGCTTTTTGTGTGTTTGTGTAGCCTTTCCTCTTTTCAGGTAACGAGGAGGTTGTGTGGCTTAGGCTCTACCTGTTTAGTGACATCTTATGGCGCGTTTCCACTACAGCGCGGAGCACGGTTTAAGAGGGCTGTGACGTCAGCGGCCCGTTTTTGGTTGCGTTTCCACTTGGCCTAGTACCGGCTAGCGGGTCCTAATTCACCGTTTTTCTGGCCTCATAAAATCGTGGGTCCAGGGCCAGAGACAACGAGGCTGAGTCGGGCTGAGTATGCTAAACTAGAGAGAGAATCGCTGGCAAGGGGGCTACAACTACAACAAGATGGACATATTTGACCGTGATTTAATTGTAATACACGTTTCAAAATGATGCCGAAGTAACAACATACTGATACCGGTTAGTAAAAACCATGAATTAATGCTTTGACAAGTCTGCAGACAGACGGCAGGCGAAAACCTTTTAAAATGCGTGTTTTCTAAATGGAGATTGGCTAAGCTAACGCAGTATATGCTCCGACCGTCCACACTCACAACAACGGCCTATACAGACATAAATAAAGCAGCGACTGTATTCGCCATGACACAGGCAGTCTGTGGTTTGTACTTGTTTAACTTTTGTCTAGTTTCTGAACATATATGAGGAGCTGTGAGCTCTGAGTGCCAACAGCTAACGGCTGTGTTGTTTTTCTGGGGTTCTCATTGAAGATGACGTCACGGCTCCGCCTACACTGCGTTACTATAGATACTACCCCAGTTCCTAAACTGTAATGGAAATGCGCCATAAAGTGAGCCAGTCCTAACGAGGCCTAGCCATACCGAGCGAGGCCGAGCGAGGCCGTGTAGTGGAAATGCGCCATTAATGGATCGACTTTTTCGTAAATCCTTCCAATTTATGTATCATTTTGTCATATGGATTGTTTGTATTGAAATGTCATTATATTGGTCTATCCCGCACACATGACATCCGTTGAACGTCTGTAAACTGGGAAAAGGGATCCCTCCACAAGACGTGTTTAAATCTTTTTCAAAAGCCTCAGACTCATTTAACACATAGAAGACTACAAAGACTTTCATTTGAAACAAGATAAGAACCCTTCCCTATAAGACTGGGGAAATACATCAGTATCTTACCTGTGGTTTGTCGCAGTTCTTCACACAAACTTATGTGGGGAAACTGAAGCAGCTGCTTCCATTTCTTGCTTTTTCCTTTTCTGTTCCCGCCGCCTCCTGTAATACAAAGAGCTTTGGTTGACATCTCATGTCAAATGAAACATAAAACTACACAATTCAAAAAGAGCGAAGATAGTTAAAAATTAACATAGAAAATGCAGTTTCTGCAAGAGAGTAATAATACAATGTTGTTAAAAGGGCCCTATTGTGCTCATTTTCAGGTTTCATATTTGAATTATGTACCTCTGTGAAATGTTTACATACTTTAATGTTAAAACACGTCTTTCTTTTCACCCTCTTCCTGATACCAGAGCCCAGTCTGCTCTGATTGGTTAGCTGGCCAGCTCTGTTGCGATTGGTCAACCGCTTAGAGATGTCCCGCCCCTTAGCCTATGACGTATGATGTGTTGGAGCGCTAGCCAATAGAAGCATTAGTGTAACATAGTGATGTCACTGAAGTAAACAAAGGACTACAATCAAGGGGTTTCAGACAGGGGGGGGGGGGCGGACTGTGTGGGAGAGAAACTCCCTCTGAAGGGAACACAGGGGTTTTAGCCTTTGCAGACCGTTTACATGCACACAAACCTATATACCGCACTACAGGAAAGGGAAAACCCAAAGAAGCATAATAGGGCCTCTTTAAACACTCACTAAAAAAAACCTTCTCACTTTATAAACCACTGTATGATAGCATTACTGGGGAAGGCAATCTGTGATAGCGTGAGGACTCACCTCTAATCTGAGGACACTAATTAAGGTTCCCACAGAGTTAATGATTTGCTTCAGGGTAATGACCAGATGTTAGGTCTAGAATTGTCTCTTTAGCAATTAATGTAAGTCAACAAAATGTCCTAACAAGTATGGTATAACATTCAGCCATAAAAATGTACTTGAGAAACTGCAGCCGAATAAAACACAAAGAGCCAACGTCACTCCAACAATCAGAACAAATAAACAGCGGATCAAATTCCTGTCCTCTTTCAAAAGCTTGTGATCTACAATGATGTAGCTTCAGATGCAGCTTCATTCACTTCAATCTAATAACAAGAACGAGAGCCAACATGATGCTCATTGTATTAGATTTAACTTTCATTACGTTTCCTTTACATGTAGAGTGTAGATAATATGATGCTGATCCCTGATATGATTGTAAAAGTGTTCTCAAAGTTAAAGTAATCATCTTGTATCTATGTCTTGATGCAAAAAAAAATTACTATTTGGGGACAAATACAAAGTAAGATTTGACAATAATGGTATTCAATAAATTACAAGTATTGAGGGATAGAATAAATTCACAAAATGTAGACACGATTGTTCAGAAAATACAAATAAAATAGATAAAATAATATATTCTAACCAATTATAATATCAATATAAATGGTTCCATTACATGTACAGTGAAACTACTCAATTTCAAAGACACCTAATATTTTTGGATTAGCAACATGGGTTGGAAAATAGTGAAAAATGCTAATCACAATTCCCCAGAATAATAGGTTTAGGACTTGTTATGACAGGCCAACGGTCCAAAGCCCCAAAATATTCAGCCTACAATGATTAAAAACTAAGAACACCGCAAATCCTTATATTTGCCAGGCTGAGGCCAGCAAAAGTTTGGCCTTTTTTCATTGTAAAATGACTTAAACAATCATCAATGTGATTTATTTGAATGATTGTTAACTAATATTTCAACTAACCACTTAAACTCTTATTATTCTGACTCTCAAGTATAGATTAAATGTTAGTTTTTTTACTTAAAAAACATATAAAGAATGTACAATAAGCTTTTGTAGGAAACTCAGTTAACTTATGTTATTGACATAGACCTCCAACATATGTTAATTAAAGAGTTATTATTTCTGTTAGCCGACATAAAAAAAACTGATTGTGAGATGTGAGTGTTTATTCAGGGGTCTGGTGCTTTGCTTTATGTTGCTTGGAAGGCAAAACTTGGGGCAAAAAAGGTTATTTTAAAATACTTCTGCTCAGTGTTTCCGCCAGACCAGGGCTGAGAGGGCGTCCGGGGGGGGGGGGGGGGGGGGGGGATGGGGGCTCTGGTGCTCGCTGCTCATGCGCGTGCTCCACTAGCACCGCTCATCGCGTCCAAATCGCGCATGTCCCGTGTTGTCCTGCCGATGTCGGGGAAACGATCTTCAATACTCCGAAAAGAATCCCACCAGACTCCTTTGCCCCTCCAACAGAGGGATGTCCTTGTCCTTTTTCCTTTTTGTTATTTCAAGCGATAAAAACTCTCGATCTTCTCTCGAATTATTAAAATGTTTGGACGCCCTCGGCTCGCGTTCAGGGCATCCCGAGCTGAATAAGGGCGTCAAATGACGGCAAGACGCCCCCCTGGCGGAAACGCTGCTTCTGCTCATAAAACTGGTAGCTGGGAGTGTACAGTTCATATTAAAGACAAAGCAGATGCATATATCCAGATTTTTATCAACTCAGCTCCTTTTTTAGGATCAAATGAAATAGTCAAAGTATAAAGTGATAACAGAGGCTTGTTGTGAATACAGCAGCCTTACTGTGTGTTCTGACAACGAGAAAAGTCAATACCTCGCTCCAGGATTTGCTATTCAAATACTGCACGGCGGCTGCTACTAAAAATGAATTGTCATAGATACGATGCAAACAAGATGTTTTGTTTGTTTCGGGGAAACAGAAGATAATATCAACCGCAGAATTACCAATAAGCTGATTGATAACAGAGATCCCCGAAGTCCGTTGTGTGCATTAGTGGAAATGTAAATCAAGACAAACAGCATGTCAGTGAGACAGGAAGACATTGAAACACTGATTCGCCACAAAATGATTAACATACGTATTAGAGAGAAAGCAGGCAAATGAGTTTTTAATCATAGAGGAAGATATCCCACATTGACATAGGATGAAGGATCTTTTTTTGACAATACAAGACGTTTGTTTTGAACTAGAGGAAGGACATTCAATCAACAATGAAACGGTATCTAGACACTAAAGTTCAGCCTGACATGAGATAACATCCCCACCGCCAAAAAAAGACAATGTCACACCAAAATAAAGAAAAACACATCTGTTCCTTTTTTAAATTATCTATTTTCTACAAGTTTGTCTCCTGAACAACAGTTCAACTGTTTCACCAACTTGTTCCAGCTAGAGCATCAATGCAGAATAATTCCCTCTGTAGTTTTCTTTGGAAAGAAAGACACTGTATGTAAATTATAAATATTCAGTGTTACTGAAGCCTGGCCTGTTGTTTAGTCTGTAAAACATAATTTAATAGTGACTCTATAATTTCCAAGAGCCTGAAGGGATTTTCTTTTGTAATCAACAGACAAAGGATGTTCAGTTTTCTGTCGTGTAAGACTGGTAATAGTATTAACATTTCACATTGGAGAAGCAAGAAGCATTAAATGTTCTGGATCTTTGATTGAAAAATTACTTATAGGATTTTCAAAAAGTTTCCAATACATTTTATGTTAATCAATTAACTAATAGTCGACAAATTCTTATAGAAGTTGAATGCACTTCCTTGCTTACAAAACATTTGCAAAGCTATTTCTTAATATATTTCAAATGTGGCATTGTTTGGATACATGCTTCGCTTGCTAGCAGCCTTTCTTACCTACTTTTGTCTCCGACTTGCCACATTTGTTGGCCCATTACCCGCACCGACTATCGATCATTATGGCATAAAAAGAAAAACAAAACAGCAACCCTATTGTAAAAAAAGGGCTCCATGGCGATGCTAGTAGTCACAAACTCCACAGTGCCTTTTAAAGCACCGCTATCAGGTTATGAATCTGATGTTTCGCATATTAAAAATGGAAGTAGTTCATCAAGATCTTCACATAATGAATGCCTGTGAATTCAACCACATATCATCGGACGATTCAAGATGAAATCGATGAATTTAAAACAGCTGGATTTTCTTAGGAAACAGTTTTAAATGTTACTTTTGCTTATTTCACTTTGATTGATCTTTTAATGTCAGTATCTCTTGGAGAACATTAAGTGTAAATCCGAATATAGATTACATTGTATTTTAATTTAAGATGAAACTTTTTGTTTTTCAGCTCTGAGTAGTGTCTGCAGGTATACAATTGTTTTTGTGAAGGTCATATTTGATAAGCAATCTGAATTTCTGTAGCTGGAAATTCAGGAAACACTGTTTTGTTAGAGTTAAATGGGCCAATACAACTACAAAACTATAAAGAACAGGACAAAACAAGAAACTTTGTCGGATATGAACATGTCTCTTCACACAGGAAGTGGCGCAAAAAGTCAAGAGAAAATATGTGAGCACTCGATCCAGGGAAAGACAGATTCCCCAACATGACACATTATAAGTTTGATCCCTTTGCCCTACTTAACATTGGGGTTCAACACTGGCGCAACACTGTTTTTTTTCTCATTGAATTTCAAACTTTTGTTTCCTCTCTTCCTGCCATTTACATCCATGCACATAGGAAGTTGCCTAATGTTGGTTTCTTTAAAGGAAAACTCCACCCTGAAACTTTGACACCATCTTAAACACCTTTGTTCCAATTCTATAAGCCCATTTTTCGTTTTGCAGACGTCTTTTTTTCCTTCTTCCACAAATTACTGCAAACTTAGTTGTTGGGTTGTTAAATCCAAGAAGTAAGGGCTACTTTAAAAGCATTAGCATTAAAAAATTAACAACTTCAGAGAGAGAATGCCATCAAGAGAAAGGACTCTGTCTTTTAAACAATATAGATAAGCAAATGGCCGCTGGCTATAAAGATACTTTTAGGCTACTGCAACTTGATTTCAAATGCACACTGGAATTAAATGGCTTTGGAAAATAGTCAGCAGTAATGTGAAGTGGAAGCAAATTGTAGTTAAAAAGAGGACTTTAGCGATTTAGTATTGAACTTTGATAAAGTTGAACTGAAGTGAGTTAAGTGTTATGCTAATGCTTTTCTGCCTTTACATCAGTAAGAATTTGATTGCAGGACCTTTACTTGTAAATATGTTACCATTGTAGTATTGCTCATGTAACAACACTACAAGGTGCTAGGCTTATGTAGATAAAGATCTTAATGTTTACAACTCTGCAATTACAACGGTGGAGCCTACAATTTCACTAATGCAACATTCAGTTTTTGGTTTATTTCTATGATGACAACAATGTTTTTTGAGAGGATTTCTTTACTAATTCAAAAATCTCATAAGCCTTACTTGATGACATACAGTGTTATATGAGCAATTGGAAAGTTGTAACAACTGTGGAGTGCCCCTTTTATAAGCTTGAATACAAAGTGTACAGTCTTAAAATCTAGTCTTCTAAAAAGAAAAAACACCTCGTGCTCTGAGGCCTTCTCGTGGGTGTTTTGACATTCAATACACTGCATAATACTCAACATTGCCCTGTTATGTTGTTATACTTTCTCAAAATACTTTATATCCCTAACCCTCACCCTAATACCCGCATCAAACACAGTCTGTTAGGGCAATAAATCATGATATATATTAATCTTATCGTTTATATTAAAGAACATCTTGTCAAGGCTCCAGGGAATCCAGAGGTCAAGGCCTGTCTGCTGCTGGGAGGAATGTTGCCTTGCTCATGGGCAAAATGCTGCTTTAACAGAGGCTAAAGCCCAGAGCACTAAGGATAAACTGAATTGAGCAGATAAACCGGCGTTAGCGATCACAGCACTCATCTTTTCGTGTCCCTCTGCAGATGGCATTTGGATTATTTTGGCAATAAGTCACTGCAACCTTTTCTCCAGTTTCAAAAACAATAACAAACTTTTCTGGAACATTTGCATTTTAGACATATCTGACCACCTAAAGGTACTTCATCTAGGAAAACCTACAAAACACTAAAGGTGGAAAGTAACTAAGTACATTCACTCAAGTAAGTGCAACTTTGAGGTATCTGTACTTTACTTGAGTGGTTCCATTTAATGCTACTTTATGCTTCTACTCCACTACATTTAAAAGGGGAAATAATGTAAGTTCACTCCACTACATTTATTAAACAGCTTTAGCTACTTTGAACAAAATGCACCTCTTAAAATTAAACTAGAGGACTAACTCTTTCAGTCACAAAAGAGCGAAATTATTTAATTAATTTTTACAAAAAGTCAATCTGAACTTTGTTTGTCTACAGCAGTAAAATGCTATACTTGATGCAACAATATTATCTAGAAACGTCACATACATAAATATAATTATATATACACAAAAAGGCACATTTTCTACACAATGGTTACTTTTACTTTTTTGTATTTTCATAATACTTTTGTACTTGTTCAAGATTTTGAATGGATGACTTGTTATGCAGTATTTATACAATAATATATTGGTACTTTTACTCAAGTAAAGCATCTGAATACTTCTTCCACCACTGAATTTTAATTACAGGTTCCAAAATCTAGAATGCATAGCCAAGAAAGGCCTATTTAAAATGAGGGTTTACAAACAGAATACCAGAGATGAAAGAAGTACTCAGATCTTGTACTTAAGTAAAAGTAGAAATACCAAAGTGTAGGAATACTGTGTTAAAAGTAAAAGTCCTTAATTCGAAATGTTACTCAAGTAAAAGTACAAAAGTATTGTCATGTAAATATACTTAGTGTACCAATAGTGAAAGTACTAATTTAGCAGATTGGCCCATTTCACATTATAGGTTTAGATCGTAATTATTGATGCATTAAAGTGTTATCAAAGCTGATAAAGGTGGAACTAATTGTAAAAACGGTATTTACTGCTGAGTAGTTTATGAATTTAATCCAGGTGAAACTAAAGTCTTATTTCAGTTTTGATCATATTGTCAATCATTGATCTATATCTGCAAAGTAACTAAAGGTACAGAATAAATGTAGAAGAAGTAAAAGTACACGATTAACCTCTGAATTGTGGTGGAGTAGAAGTACAAAGTAGCAAAACATGGAATGGAAAGTACCTCAACATTGTAAAGTACTTGAGTAATAGTACTTAGTTACTTCCTACATCTGCAAAACACAGGTTTCAATGCATAGCTAAGCAATGCCTATTCAATGAGGGTTTAAACACAGAATAGCAGAATGTGCACATGAGTACAAACCCTTGTGCGTGCATCTGCTCTGCCTCAACATCCTGTTTCGCAAACGACGATGCTGCAACATCAGCAAGGGAAACCCGATGTGCCGCTTTTTACACTTACAACCCCTTCCGGACCTCAAATACTCCATGTTTCATATACATATAATCACAATCACGCCAAACCTATTTAAGAAAAGCAGGCAATTGAAAGCACCCATTCGTAACAACTGTGTTCATACACCAGGAAACCGAAAATGTTGCACACGTCTCTCCCACCCACACTTTAATTCTGACAACCCGTGCATCAGTTTGAATGCATATTACACTATATCATGCGAGCTTGACATCCCTATCTACCAAGACTTTTCCTGTTGATTTACAGGGGAGAGAGGGGCTGTCAAACATCTCCATCCTTACCTTCCCGTGCCTTCAGCAGCACCGTGTTGGCCACGATATTTTCCAGCTCCATGTTGATGCTGTCAGACGGAGCTCCAGATCTCCAATCTCAGTGTTAGCCTCCCTAAAAACACCGTCTACCACCTCCTCCCTCCGCCCAGCCAAGGAGGAAGATTTCAAGCCTCCAGTTTCTGCTTTCCGCACAGTCCTGTCCGGTAGCAGTCCGCACCCCTCCTCTTCCTCTTCCTCCGCCTCTTTCTCCTCCTCCTGCCTGTCTCCGCCCCGGAGCTGCTGTCAAACAGGAGGAAGAAACACAGACGTCTCACTCTGTTGGAAATGGGTTGTTTCAGAAGGAGGTCTCACTCTGCTGATTATTCCCGCGTCGTTTTTAAGCTGTCTCGCTAAAGAGGATTTATTTAATAGAAAAAAACGTACAAATAGGCAGTGTTGGAAAGTAACTAAGTACATTTACTCAACTACTATACTTAATAAATGCAGATGTTGACAGACAAAACGTTTAAAATATGATTTTTTTGGTAGAAAATAAACCATCCAACATAACTCAAACCATGAATGGATACATTTGCTATTTGCTCAAAAATATTTCACAGTCCAGCATCTTAAATGTGAAGATTTGCTGCTTTGCTTCAAAAAATGTTTAAATATTTGTTCAGTTGTTCTGCAATTACTACTTTTACTCCTAATACTTTGAGTACAATTGCCTACTCGTACTTCAGTTCTTTTACTTGAAATGTGGTGTTTTTACTGTGTGGTATTAGTAGGCCTACTTTTAGTCAAGTAAAGAATCTGAATATTTCCACCACAGAACATAGGCTAATAACCTAAATCAATATATTCTATAGCCTACATTGTGGATGGTAGCATTATTGAAGGATACATTTTTCAACCAAGATCAAATTACTAAAATATTACAACATGCGCATATGTAGCTTGCATAGGGTTCTACACTTGATAAAGTGTTAATATTACGTAAATATCCTTTACAGTGACAATATTATAATCAAGACTATAAATGAAATCCAATTCCTCCTGACAGGCTTTGGTGCCTCTGAATGTATCAAGAATTAATGCACAGTTACAATTTCAAAAAATCAATATAATATATTTCTGACTCCAGAGCTGCTGCTCTTTGTGGCTCATCTCCCTCTGCAGAAAGTGGATTTCCCTGCACAGATCAATGGCAGCGTCACGGTGCATTATGCATTAAGAAAGAGTCTCACTGTTTGGTGGGGCAGAATGACGACAGAAGCTCCGGCCAGAGGGTTGATTGAGTTATGAAGTTATAGATCAGCCTCACAGTGATGGCTTCTCTTTGGCTTTCAAAACGTACTTTCTGGACTAAACTTCCTCTTTACAGCATTATTTAAACAGTTCAAAGACTAGAAGGCCTTTAACTCAAGCCAGGATATAGAGAACTACATAAGTAATGGACCACAAGTCACTTTTAACTTGAAATTCATGAATAAACAAAACAAGTAATCAATAAGGGTCACAAAAACACAGGTAACTGTCCACAGTGCTTTCTTTGTCTTTTTTTTTCTTTCAATTGATGGAATAACACCACTAATCTGTTGGGTGTTTGTATGCAAAGCCACTGTTTAGGATGTAAACTTTGTCCGTCGCAATTTAGATTACAGACACAGACAGAAAAATACAAAATCTGATGTATAACTTGGAGAAATAGGGATGAAATAGTGGAAAATTACAGAAATACAAAACACAAAGAAAACATGAATGAGAACAGTTTGTTGCCAGTGAAAAAAGTACATCCAACAAAATATAATAATCTGCAATAAAGTAAAAAATACAGACAATTCAAACATTCATGTTGCACACAAAGCAAGGACACAGAATAACTAAAATAAGCTTAAGAGAACCATAAAAGAAATATGAAGAATACATGTGGTAAACACAAAGGATTTGTACTTATATCTTTCATATGTATAGTTTGAAAGATTTGGGCCCTGGTGCTCAGTTGACTCTGCTGCTGTGTGTCTGCGGTAAACATGAATCTCCCTTTTTGTGAGATTCTTTTGGACCCAGAGTGACATCTAGAGGATAAAAGCTTAAACTGCAGGTTTGCAACCCTCCTCAGATGTCACCGTCAGGAAACAAAAGAATAAGATTGATCATACTTTTGAAAGTTTTGTGTATTTTGTCTTGTTTTTTTCTAAAAATAAATGGAATGTCTATTTTCCCAAATAATTTTTACTTTGTATTTGTTTGTCTATGTGTTTTAATTTGTGAATTAATTAAGGTTAACAAAGTCAATACTTATCGTTGCAAAAAAAAGGAAAAACAATACCTCTCGGATCATCATCTCATCTACATGATGAGAAGTTGTATATACAATTGTATAGTAAATATTATTCTTTTAATGACCTTTTTGACTTTGTGTGTATTGTGTCAGGCACACACACAGTGGCTGAGAGAAACTTTAAATACATTACATTCATTCAAAAAAAATAAAAATCGAAACTTTATCATTTTAGTTTACCAAATGCAATATTTATTATCAATTTAATAGAGTAAAATGATAATTTAAAAAAATAAAGAAAAACTTGAAACTGAAAGGTCGAAGGTGAAAATGGGGCGTGGTGTCTGGTCACATGATCGGAACAAAACAAATACGCACTTCCGGTTTCTACACGCTGCTTCTCTAGCTCACAACCAACACATCTCTGCTGTTCTGTGAAAACAGAGAAAAATCTGCAAACATGCCGAAAGCCAAGAAGTCAGGGAAAAGAAAGAAGTTCAATTACAACTTAGACCGGAAGAAGATGAAGAAACAAGCTATCAAGAAATGCAAACCGAGGATAGAAAAGTAAGAGACGTTAGCATGTTAGCTAATGTTAGCTCACAGTAGCCCATGTGAGGATTTTATTTGAGAGATTTACACTCTGCTTGTTTGTAGTTCAGCTTTTATACAGTGGTGGACAAAGTGCTAAAATAAATGTGTATTGTGCTCTTAAAATCACTGATATGTGCCGTCAGAAGATGTAGTTTACTCATGCAGAATAGCTCCTTTAAGTGTTATATTATTATAGAATAATATATTACTCTGTTTTTAGATACATCTTATACTGCTTGAGTGATAGTAGTAAAGTATTGCATCATATCATATAAGCATGTAAATAAAATACATGCATTTGAAAATACGATAATGATATACATAACAATATTTCCCTTTGAAATAAAGTTAATTGGAAAACCAAATAAATTGTGAACATAGGGACTGGGTTTCAAACTGAGTTTATCTTTTTTTATATATGTTCATGAGATAAATCACTGAAAATTACATTTACTGGTGGACTAAAATGTAGAACTACATATATATTTAACAGAACCACCAAAGTGTACATTTCCATCTCAATTGACCTTCAGATTTGTTCTGGCCTGCACCTTTAGAAGCACTGTTATGTTGTTTGCTTGTCATCGTGTTTCTAAATCGTCCTTTCACTCAGTTCACAGATTCGAAATGCATGGGACGACAAGAAGTCAACGTCCAGGAACTTGCAGGACATGGGTCTGGCTTTCGATCCAAACCGCTCGCTGCCAATACAAAAGAAGAGCGTAAGTAACTGATTCGGTTGTATGGTCCTGTAGTTGGATTTTCCCAGGGTCAAATTCAGAGCACACATTGTTTTTCTAATCGTCAAGGAACATGTCTTTGTCTGACAAAATGTGTTTTATCATATCCTGTATAATCAGACTAAGGCTGTGCAACATTACCTGAAATCAAATCCCTATTGATTGACACATTCACCTTTGTAACAATTAATGAAATGATCCCCTGTACGCAACATGTTCCATCTTCGCAGTAAACAACTTAATAATAAGTTACACTGAACATAAAAAGGTTAAACGTCTTAATTAGTATATGTGTAATTTAACTGTTTATTTCAATGGGACTTCTGTCCATAGGAAGTCATATTATTACCACTTTTCGAAGCTTCTGCTAATTCTTTCCCATTTTATCAATCTTTCGGTTGCTGTGATTACAATATTTTACAATTATATTAACAAAAACTCAGTTCTACATAGTCTAATGATCAGGAAAATGACTGCCATTTTAAACACTATATTACATTTATATGTTCTATATCATGTATACACAACAAACGTTACACTTTCTTTGTTACCATTTCTTTCTAATGTGCATGGTTAATCACACCCCTAAAAACAGCAATAAGAAACAATGCTACACCCACTTTACACCACTATCAATTTGAAGGTGTGTCTGGCTGTCAGTATGAAGGATCAAAACATGCAAACAAACGATGTGACCTAAATTAGGTGTCCTAGTATTATTATTTTTCTTTGTCATAGTTTAATCTCTCATATCTTAAAACAACGTCAGTTACACCGATTTCACAGCAACTATGAACTGGTGTGTCCGTGTACAATCATGTCAAAAATGACTATTAGGTATTTCATCTTTTAAATACAGCTGATGACCTGTAGATGACTTTGATCTGCATCTGCAAAAGGTGCATTTTAAATCATCAAAGGAGTATTTTTGTGTGCCGAATGTGAGCAGATAATAGCCGATCTTTCTCTGTTGCCGGTTGATCAGTAGCTGAATGATTGTGTTGCTCAAGAGTCCCTCAGCAGCTGCTGGAGTTGATAAAACAAGGCTCTAATTATTCAAGTATGTTCATGTACTGTAGTTTTCATTTATGCCAGAAGGGAGCAACAGAGTGTTGGTTATAATGATTAAACACATGTAACCAGAAGAAATCTCCTTAAAAAAACACTCACTATCAGTCATTCAATTTATAATGTGTAACAAACATGAATAAAACCAGTTTTTGAGTGTGAAATACGACGCAGGTGGTATTTCTAGTGCGGATGTTCCTCTGTGTAGTTGCTAGTTAAAGGATTCACTGCAGTCTAATGCAGCGATCACACCTACGCTGAAGTGGAAAACAAAGTAGAGAATATTGCCTGTTCCTCAGAGTGAGTCAAGCAGAGCCATTCAGTGGAAATGCGTCATGGTACACATATTATCAATGTTTTTGTTCTCTGATCTTCACTGACGTTCTCTCCTCCTGTGACAGTTTCTCGGTATGGTATTGTTGAAATGGCATCACTGATGAAAATAAAACATAAATCATTCCTAAATTATTTGTTTTTGTTCACACGTGTAGCTCACCCGTGAAGACAGAGTAACTAAGGCTCCTGTCGAGACCGTGACCAAGCCCTACGTTGTCAACCGTAAGTAGTTTCTTTTTAAGACCTCGTCAATAAAATGAAAGTGGTAATTTTGCATTTGATCGATTTTTAAGTCTCCATGTTTTGCTAATAGGCCTTGGTTTTGCATTAGAGATATATCCTTTAATTTGGCTTTGTCAGTCTGATAAATGTGAAGATTTATATTATATTAAACTCAATATTTAAATACTTTTCCGGGACATTTTATAGAAATCTCAATTGACCAATAATACAAATATTAAAGGTTATTGTGCTCATTTTGAGGTTCATATTTGTATTTTGTGTCTCTACTGTGACATTGTACAAGCTTTAATGTTCAAAAAGCTCTTTATTTTTCTCATACTGCCTGTGCTACAGCACCTCTTTTCACCCTCTGTCTGAAACCAGAGCCCAGTCTGCTCTGATTGGTTAGCTGGCTGGCTCTGTTGATATGTCCCGCCCCTTAGCACGTACAATGTGTTGAAGCGCGAGCCAAAAGAAGCACGAGTGTTACATGCTGATACATTTAAGCCTCTTCAGACCATTTACATGCACTAAAACCTGTATAACACAGTACAGGAAAGTGTAAAGCCACCAAAAGCATCATAGGGTCTCTTCAATAATAATCAGTTGCAGCCTAGTGCCAACCAGTCTGTGCTGCATTAGTTTGAACTCTACCAGCATTAAAACATTTGGATGTTGCACCACAGCTGTTGCAGTTGTCATGTTTCTAAAGAGCTCCATGTGATCTCTCACTGCTGTGAACACAGTGAATCTGTAAAGGTTTGCTGTCAGAAAGTCGACAGCTTCTGTTATTCAATGAGATTCCTTTCTCTCATGCGTAGTTGTCTTTTTATATGAAGGCTGTTTCACACCACTTCCAAGGATCTTTCCATTTGGACACTTGATGCTATTTCAGCCTAATTAGACCAGTTTGAATGAAAGCAGTACACGTACAGAATGTTGTTGTTATGCACAGTTACATAGAAGCACCGAAGAATCAGCCTCCAGCAGCAGCTGCTCTGGTTTTCAGTGCTGAATAACTTTTATTCCTCCAGAAATACGAGTGCTGCTTTTTATTCTTTGTTGAATAATTCCTCCTTCTTCTTTTTTTTTTAAATGACTGAGATGCAAAATGTAGTTTTTGTCCACCAGCCAAACGGCTAATGAATATGCACATTGTACCAGCCAGTTGATGGATAACCATTGTTTTGTGACTATAGAAATCTACAAGCCGAACAGAGAAATAACACAAATAAATCCAATGGAATCAGTAAAAGCAAACAAGATGGAATATTCAAATGAATGTTTGTGCATTTTGGGATCCTCTAAGATGTTTTTTTTACGTCCTGATTTCTGCAGAGCTGGAGGAGGAGGCCAACCGTCTGCAGAAAGACTCCAAGACGTTATCCTCAGACCTGATCGAGTATGCACAGTACATGATCCGAGAACACAAGGACAACTTCAAGGTAAGAGCCGCAACAGGAAGCACATTAACAGAGCAGGGAGATGAAAGGGAAACTACGGCCATTTTCAAATTAGATTCCTGTTATTGCATTGGTCTCAGACAGTCCAAAAACATAAATAAACATCGAATAACGTTCTCCTGAATCCAAAGCATAGAGTGTTGGGTTTAACAATGGGACCAAAACATGTTGGTGATTTGTTAAGAACATAGCTGGTTGTTTATTTTTGTGGGGGCTTTTCATGAAGGGTTGTCAGTGACGCTCCCTCCAGTTGTAGACACATGGTTCAAATCTGGGTTTTATTCCATACCAGACCAACCTGTGATAACTGGGTTGAAAGAGAACAATTAACGAAAGTATACAACGAATGAAATGCATGTATGCGAGTTATATCATCTACTCTATTTACACTACAAATGTATCGCTAGGAATCTAAGTGTATCTGGAGCAAGGCAGGCACTGTAAAGTAGCAGCCAGTTTAGAAGATTTTAACATATCACCCCAGATTGCTACAATGCAAAAAACTCAAACTCTTGATATCTACAAAGTGTGTTACTTGAGTGAAAGCATCGTCATCAAGATAAACATAGTTTCATATAATTGAACTTGCTATTAGCACTTTTCACACAAGGCATCAATATTCAATTCTCAATGTCTTGACTTTGGCTGCATGGCCTGGAACTGGAAAACAGTTTTCCTGATGTTGTGTTCAAGGACACTTTGACATATGAGGGCAAGTTGCCAAGGTTTAAGATTCTTTCTTTTCTTGATATGTGTTCCTTTGTTTTTTTAGCTCAGAATAGCGAAGGAAACAGCTTTTAATTAGTTGAGTGTTTATCAAAAAAAAGGTTCCTCATTCAATTGGATTTTCAATGGTTGCTTTAAAAGGGACTCGCCGGGAGGAATGCCAAGCCACAATCAGTCAATAACAGAGAATATTGTGTGTGCGTGTAGTTTATTCTGCAATAAAATATCCTTTCCTAGAAAATATTTCACCCTTGACTTTAAACTCTGAAAGATGAGTCATTCACCTGCATATGACACGTTTAATTATATAACCGCCCTCTAAAAATGTATTTTCATGTGAATCGTGATCAACAAAACATCACACTCAAGTCAACATCTGAGCTGAGCCTGACAAACTGAACAGAGTAACCCTTTTTACATTTAGCAACATTACATTTTCAGGACCAACATTGAATATTTTGCCCCACTCTTAATATCCCCCCAAAAAATAATTTGAGAAAATGTACCTTAAATTTGCACCAAAAAAGTCACTTAAAACTGTTCTGTATCCGTCTTAGTTTGCACTAACGGTCCAAAATACAGAAAGATGTTTCTCCACATACACATACATATATTTAACAATCATCACTCATATATGTGCATTCAACTGATCAGTGTTTTTCTGTAGGCGCTTTCACACCGGAGTACTTTTCCCAGGAATAGTTCCGATAGTTCCTGGGATTTTGTGTTCACACCAAAAATATCTGGAACTAGAACTTTTTTTTGCAAACCTTTTCACCCCTTTTTAGTCCTTGCCAGAGAGCAGGGACTTTCCTGGGGAGAAAAAGGTTCCCATTTCTGATTGGCTGGGCGAATTGCAAACCACGCCCCGTAAAACTCTGGAAAGTTTTGTGAAGCCGCCATTGTATTTGCTGGCATTAGCATTATTAGCATTAGCATTAGCCCAGCGCACCAACAGAGAGAGTCTAACTTATGGCAACACAAAAAAAAAACGGAAGGCTTCAGTAGAAGCTGCTGGGAAGACTCCCAGCAGCTTCTACTGAAGCCAGTCCCAAACTCCGGGGACTTCGGGTGGGAGTATAAGCCGTGAAGTTGTTTGCGGCCTGCCAGTAAGCTTTTCATGCTTTAAACAAAGCAGAAGAAGAAGAAGTGACGTCAGCAGCTTCATTTGCCTAATCCTCCCTCAGGGACTTATTCCGGTGTGAACGCGGTCTGCTCTTTAGATGAACTAAGTACTGGGAACTAAGAACGGCAAAGTACTTGGTGTGAAAGCGCCTCTTGTTGTTATTCAAACAGTTACTTGCGTGTCTAATTCCATTTTAGATTTGATTACACTTGAGTAATTATCTGTACTGTCCTGTATTTCACTCTTTCTCTGTTGCTGCTATAACCCCTGAATTTCCCTACGAGGATCAATGAAGGTCTATCTTATTTTATCTTGTCTTATATTTGACCAAACGTCCTGTTCTGTGTTATCTCTGCAGGAGATGGCCAGGGACGAGAAGAACTACTACCAGGACACACCCAAACAGATCAAGAGGAAACTAATCGAGTACCAGCGCTGCCACAAAGAGCATTACAACACCTTCATGAGCTCACTAGCACCCCAGCCCATAGACCAGTAGAGGAAATAAGACCCTTTCTCTGGACTTTAAACCATTCTCCCTATAGAATCTCATTCTGGACAGACTGTCGAGTGCAAACAGGACAGAAGACCAGAAGATGCACTCATAACACCACCAAGAATCATAAAAACCATCAGTGACAGGAAGTGGAGACGAGTATTACTTGTCTTGTTAAGGATCTCTCTGTTACTTTCTTCCTCGTTCAAATTTCCATTTTGTTTCCATGGATATATTCCTGATCTCACTTCTGTGTTTTAACTGTATAACATGATTGATTTTTATTGTCATTTAAAAACCCTAAATCTCATCTCGTAATGTGTTTTTCTTTCCCTGGGATGAACAGTATCCTCTCATGCACACTGGAGAGTTGTCTGATGTTTCCTGACGTTCCTATGTTTTCCTGATTCTCACACAGGATATTTTTAGATCTTCAGTTAAAGTGTCAGATGTTGATGTTCTCAGCAGCAACATGTTTTTAACTTCACTGGGTACTTTGCTGTAAAAACATGTTTCTCCATTTTTAAAACATAAAAACTCATTCATAACCATTTGACTCTGTGTCAATGCATTTGTAACAGTTTTGGTTTGAGGGATTTAGTTCAGGTCATAGTTAACATTCTTGTTTAATTTGATTGTGCCATTATATTTCAGGGAATTATTGTACGTACACTTAATTGCTTTTCATGCTTTAAACAAAAATAGAGCCAGCAGGACAAAAAATACATTATAAATGCATTATATTATGTCTTGCATCTGAAATGCATGTACACTTAAGACTTTATTTAACACATCAATGTAAGCCTTTGTGGACAAATGTGAGGTTGAATATCTATAATATTTAATAATAAACCTTTATTATAGCACTTTACATACAACACGTGCAACTCAAAGTGCTTTACAAAATGACACATCACAAGTTAAAAATAAAAAACAAGAAATTCCCCTCAGATTATTTGTTAAGAACTTTACAGGTACATGCAGCAAAATATAACATTTTATCAGGTTAATAGACACAAGGAGGTAAAATGTATGATAATACAAATAAAATAATTAATGGTTCGATGCAACAATATGAAATATAAAAAGTCGAAATTATTGTAGTTTCAAGTATTCTTAGCCCCAGAACTATTAATATAAGTAGTCCAGCTCCCAGAGCTTATAGTGCCGCTACTTTGAACCAAAACACAAAGAAACCTGCATTCATTATAAATGTGTTTTTAAAATATTCTAATGTTGTAGCAGTTTCTCTCACAGCTTTGAGCATTTTTGTGGAAGCAAACTGGCATCTATTGCTGTGTGGAGATATCTCCCTTCAACACATGTGCAATAGCATGGTGATGCATGCAAAGTCATCAGCATACTAACTGCTTCTGTCCCTGAGATCCAGTTGAACCTTCCTCTTGTTATAATATACTTTTAAAAAGGAGCTGCAGGTCTGAAAACAATTGAACCTATCAATATGTAGTCCAGTTTTTATAAACCTGAAACTATCCCGGATGGAAAGCAAAACCTTCAAGCCTTTTTTCCATTCAATAGTTCAGGATTGTCTCCTTCAAATGATCCCTGTTTTCTTTCAAACAACATGTTTCATGATCCTTAGGTAATGACACACTGACAAATCCTCTTGTTGACTAGCCCCAGTTTAGGAACATCCCCATCCCACAATTCTGCTAAATGTGGGTACAACAGGGTCAGGAATTCGCCCCCCTGACAAACAGACTCCATTCCTCGAAACACATTTGACATTTAGAGCGACACGGATGCCTAATTATCTGGAAAATGTTGTAGCATTATTGCTAATGAGTGAACACTGAAGTTAACAACAGTGGCTAATTGCTATTTGACGTTTTGATGTCAATAATAAACATGGTGGAAGCAGCTAGAGTAAAGTAGCTACTAGAGAGAAAACCCTGCATTTTTTTCTCTGTGATTATCATTTTGTAGGTTGTTTAAAAAGTACATTCTGTCCTGTGTCAGTGAAAACCCCTTTGAAACCCCTTTTAAAACCGTCAATCAAATTGACCATCCAATATTTTATTTTGTCATAGGCTTCACAAAGTCACATGGTAAAACAAAGATACATCTTGTGATTTCCTGCTTGTGAACCTTGAGCTCTTACATCTTCACAGTTTTGTGTTATTACAGATGATCTGCTGCACAAGTTAACAGCAAAACAATAGTTTGACCTACTTGCTGTGTTGACCTTGTCCGCTCTCGTCAATCATTCACAGTGTTGCTGCACAGCACAACGTGTTCCACCATCAGGTAAACACCCTCTGCATGTTGAGGAGTCAGGGGAGGAAACTCGATCAGTAGGCGCCGACTGGAGGTATGTGAGGAATGAATGCTCAATGTTTCACATCAGCTGTGGCTGTTTTCTGGGATACTGGTTTGAGACTAGTCAAATTAAAGTGGATTTCACTAAAGCTTAATTCACTACAATAGATGTTTCTAAATATCTGAATTACACAGAGTCTGGCTTATTGTCAAATATTTTAACTAGTCATATATCTACTTTAAAAAAGCTTATGTTGAAAGAGGAGCCAAGTCTGACAAATTAACAATTTAGCTCTTTCCTTTTGTTCCACCTTTTGGGCAAACTTCCCATATTTTCTTTCTTGCGCTCCGATCAAACAGTCGAACAAAGTACATCCCTTAATGGTGGCCAAGTGGTGTGTCGCTTTAAGCCCAATGAATTGTGGGACAGTCATATCTCTTGCTTTGGTAAAAGATGGTCTAGCATGCCAAAGTAAATTAGCAAAGAAGAATGAAGTAATTCTTTCTTTTGAATTTAGCAAATTGAAACAGCTCTTGTTATGTCTTCCAATATGATACTACTGGGTAATTTCACTCAGTTTTAACCCTTGTGTGGTGTTCGGGTCAAATGGACCCAATTTAAATTTCCACAAAAAAAAACACAGGACTAGCCTGTGTAAAATGTGAACATAATACAAGGGTTACACTTTCCTCAGCTGGAAAGAAATTGACCGCAGCCCTGGTGTGGTAAGATACATTATCATGATTCATTTAAAATGTAATTTAAACTCTATTTAAGCCTTGAAAATGATTTAGGTTTACTCATATGCAGTGATTTCAAGACACAAAGAAATACACAAAATTAATGTGGAAAATTCTGAGACAAAACAAGTGCCCTATTTTATTTGCACTAAAATGTTCCAATAAACCTGAAGAGCATAAGACAGTTAAAGGAGGGATTTGGTAGGTTCCTGTGGTTCAGTCCCGCAGAGATGATATGTAAGCTGGTGAATTATGTATGAATGAAAAGATAAGCATCTGTGCCAGAGAGAACTACTTTGTTAAACAAAGGACCTAAAACTATGATGTCGCCAGCAGATTTCCATCAGTGCAATGCTTCAAAAATCTGCAGTCTTGAAACATACAGTACATTAAGACAGCAGGCACCCTTTTTATCTAAGATTAATAAGTTAAGTAATTAATTATTGTGGCATGAACACTTTGTATCTCCAAAATGACTGATAATATTTTCTCCACCAGCAGAGGAGCATGCTGCCCTTTAAATGTCAACTGCTGACTGTAATACAAATGTTCACTTTAATGGGTTTCACCTCAAATTATTTGTCATTTAATAAATGGTATTTCTAATTCATATAATTTTCTAATTTATTATTTTTTCTAATTCCATGAGATGACGTTGATCTGCAGGCTGTGTATTTTCATGCACGCTGAGTCGTGCGGTCTGCGATCATAGTAACCTGCAGAGTGGACACTGTACCGGTGCCAGAGTGACGTCTCAGCAATAAAACAGCTTCCTGTCCGACCAGCTGTGGAACTTTGGCGACAAAAACAAGGTCAGTCAGCCTATAGCCTATAGAGGCCTTCAGATTTATATCTGTTTGTGTTTGCATTGAGGTGCTCAGTCAGCAGAGACACAGGGTAGGTTCTGTACGTGTTATCAGGTTGTTTTCCACTTGTAGATCCATCCATGTTGTTTTTTAGCGGAGAGAGACGAGAACTTGTTTGAGAACACAGTGTGTACACATACTGTGTAGATAGGTTGAGTACATAGCTATGTTTTGGCAGGTCTTCTTTTATTCCTTTTACCTGTTTATACTTGTTCTTCCATAATATTCCATGCAAAACCGATCTTGATCTCAATGAGACTTTGAGTTTACAAGATAAAATAGTGGTACCCATTTACTCTTCTATATACTGTACGAGATTTTCTTTTTAGATGTACTACTTATATTCAAGCAAAACACATTAAAAGAACGCACCACCATATTTGAATTTAACCCTTTAGATCGAACATTTTATTTGTTTGTACATTTAAAAATAAAGCAGCAGAAAACCAAAGAAAAAGAAGCAAGTTATGAATGAAAAATATTTAGAGGTATATGTAAGGAATCCCACCTAAATGAGCATTAGAGGTACATTCCAATGTTAACCATCAAACAAACTAAATATGATATATATAATAATACAATAATGAAAAAGTAAACGTCATCGAGCCAAATTACAAAATAAATAAAATAATATAGACAGGTTAAGGGTTTGTGTGTTAAACATTGTTGGACACATAATGGACAGTTAAAATAAATTGATTCAGTTGTACCACATTAAAACATTTTATCCTATACATTCTTTGCCTACATTATCATTTTTTAACAACTGCAACTAACAAGAGAGAACAACAAAACCTAAAGATATTCATGAATCCATATATATCAGTTCCATTTATTTAGCACATCAAGTATGACACCGATCTACTAAACTCTCAGTTACTGTGGAACAATATTTCTGCAGAATTACAGTACATTAAGAATAAAACATCACATTCATTAAAAAAAATGGTGCGTCATATGCAAACATTGCTGCACACATACAGCATTCAAAATCTGAATCTAGCTAACTCCAGTTCATCTGTACAAGTATCAATAAAGATAAATACGCGTATTCTTCATTTATACATTCAAGATGATCCTGTCTAAGTGTTTTCTAAAGAGTGATCTAACTGTAGAGAATGGGAGTGCACGTTTTTATAAAGACAGAGAGCATAGCCAGGTTAAGCGTGTATTAGCTTTAGCCTGGTAAGCTAACATCACTGTTGAAAGCCTGTACAAAAACACAGCTTTTGCTACTAATTGTGAACGTTTTCTTCTTAAAAACATTGACCTTGTTTGCTTCCCTATAGTGTCTATACATAATTCAGTTTGAAGTCTCTTCTGATACATTTAGAAGTTTAAAGTTATGTATTTGGCTTATACTGTAGGCTATGTTAGATGGTGTAGTTGGCAGTGTTGTCTTGTTGTTGGGACTGAAAACATAACCAAATAAAATGAAATGCATTCCTATGAAGATAGTGGTAAAAAAGTGTAGATACTTACAGAAGTATAATCATTTTTGACACAAAAAATAACCCAATGCTTTTCAAAATGTCAGGGCGTCCCTTTACATCTTCACAACATTCAGAGAAGTTTAAGTCTGCAAGTAACTTCTAGTCGATTAATTCACTGAGCTGTTGGAGTCTGAGTCCCCGGGGGCTCCAACTTGGCAACCCACAATATTACTTGTTTTGCTCTGCTGACTTCTGTGCTGCATACACTTTTCATAAAACAGCAAACCAGAAGAAACTGCTTCTATGGACTTGAATTGTTTCAGTTTATATACAGTACAATCTACATGCTTAAGTAAACCTGTCGCCAGGTGACATTTAGACTAATGCGAAGCCTGACTCATCATCAGCAGGTGGTGAAGTTCTGAGTCACTCCATTAACACACCTTCATCCTTCTGTCCTCATCCTCTTCGCTACGCACCTCCTCCTCTCCGATGACTAAGATTAATCAAGTTGGAAGAAAATTGTAAGATGAGATGAGCTGAAGAATGTTCTAAAACCAACAAAGTTGCTTTGAAAAGGGGTAGGAGGATAACAAGGGCGAACTGCAAGGCATTGTGCTCTATCTTCAGTAATTTCATTGCCTCAGTTCCTTTATTATCTCCCCCTCCTCTGCCTCAAATAAACCAGAAAGGTTGCTCTAAGCCATTCCTTATTCCATCCCCTCCTCCCCTCTGCTCGCTCATGTGGGTGAGATCAGACGAGCTGGAGCAGCAGGTCCTGGAAGGTGTCCAGGCCCCGGCAGGAGTTCCTCAGGGCCCCGTCAGAGCCCAGCTGTGCAGCCAAGAGGAACAGCCTCCTCTCCTCCGTGATGGAGCTCAGAGACAACGCTTCATGCAGCTCCGACACGCTCACAGCGTTGGGCTTATCCTGAGAAGAGAGGGGGGAAACAGTTCAACTCAGTTAGAAAATAAGTCTTATTTTGTCAAGGAAATAAAACTTACAATAAATACGTAAAAATATCTATTGAAACTTACACTGTCGAACTGTAAATTCCAGTTACACCATTTCCAACTTGAGCTTGAGCGGATTAAATGTTTGGGGCTTTGTTGCACGTTACTTCGTTAGCATAGTTTGGTGGGAGCAACACAAATAACTAATCATATGTGTTAATGAACAAAAGTATTATATTTAGCAACGTTTTGGCCCCATTTGGTGAGAAGGAAATGAGTAGAATGAATGTCCATTAGCTAACCGCATACAGCTAACAGCTAACTTCATGCTAAATAGACAGCTCTTTGTCGCTAAGCAGTTTGTTCTCATTAAGTCTAAGTCCATTCAAGTCTAACACATGTAAATGTAGTTGTGAGGAAAATACATAAGGCATATTACACTTGCAACAAACAAAGGTTTTGCATTTGCCACAAAATATTAAGTCGGTCCAAATAACAGCTTCATACAGAGCCTTCTTTTTGGTGCTAGCGAGGTTAGCTACGTACTTATTTGTTTACTGCACTAGAAACAAAAACATATTTTGGAGCCATATTTTTGGTTATAGAAATCCTTCATAATTAATCCTGAATCATTTCCATCTGATGGGAAGTCAAGCTTAGTGATTCTACCTTTTTATTTTATCCCAGAGAAACCATCAGCTAAAATAATAGGCAGATAAGGAAATAATACTCAATTTGTGCCCTATTTTTCCAATGTTAGCTCTCTCAGTCATGAATAAAATGTGTGTACGTGAAGAAAATTAATTGAAGGCCTCTATCCTACACTCTTCGACACAAGCCAGGGTCAATGGATGCTCGCCTCGTTTCTTTTCACCTCCACATCTCTTACAGCACACTGGTTCTGCCGGAAACATCCTTTGTACTGAACTGAGCGAGTGCCAAGGCTGGGAACAAAGCAGTGTGGTGGGTGAGAGCCAGTATCACTGTCCTCCTACTGAAGACTGTATTTCTTTTTCTTCTACCTGCAGCATATGCACGGCAGGAAAAAGGCAGTAATTATTTGTTATTGAAAGCTTAATCATTCAGAAAATGGTCAAAGTTAGTGAAACCATGACAGCTTTTTGCTTTTGGGAATTTACACAACACAAATTTATTATTATAGGATTAAACACTTCTTGATTGTTAAACTGATTATTATGTTCCCAATACACATGATTTTGGCAAAAACATACAGCCTCCATTTGTAGCTGGTGCAAATTCACCTGAACTGGCCATGTTCTAACAAACTGAGGCTTTGTTTTAGCCACATTTCCTCCCAATATCATGTATAATGGTTTGGTTAAAACTGGCTGATTTCGATGTAAAACAAATCACAAAAATAAACAGAAAACAGCAAAATGTGTGTGCATTTTTGGATTAAGTTCAAGCTAACTGGACCCTGAACCAAACATTTTGCATTTAGCTTAACTGAAATGACTTCAGTTAAGATGAAGGCAATTTATTTTATATTCCTTTTTTGCAAATATTAAAGTATAGCAGCAGTGCTCTGAAACTAGATGAGACAAAATATTCCTGCTTCTTGAAGGCTCATGTATAATTCCACAAGTGCTGTGCAGGGTGAAGAAATTGAGCCGAGGAGGAAATGTAGAAATGGTTATTTCACGATTGTGATGGATCATCTGCCGGGTAAATGAAGAGGGAACAACGTGTACCTGCTCGCTCCAACACATTCATCTCTATTATGTGCACTTTTTGACCTTTTGGTTTTTCCATACTTATATTTCTGTATCATTTTGACCAGTTTTTCCAAGGGTTTTCTACCAGAGTACCACATTTTTTCATCTATAGAATGAGAAAAGTACCATGTTATGAATGTTACTGTTTCCTTATCCCATTTTCTTTATCAATATTGTGCTCCATTCACAAGAAAATCCATACAAACTATTTTTTAACAAGAAAACAATACATTACTGAATCTTTGCTATACACTTTAGCTGTAAACCTTTAAATGCATGCTGTACCACTCAAGATTTTTGGATAAAAATGGGCATGGCAGCATTAGTGTCTGTTAATTACACTGTGAAAATCAATTGGCAACATCTCAAACCTTGATTGTGTTATGTTATTCATCGGGGACTAGATAACTATAAACATCACATCTGCATTTTCAATAACATTGCAATTTAATGCAATGCAGTCCTTAGCATTTGCACATGATGGATTTTTTACCTGATTATTGTTTGATTTCCGCAGAGAAAGAAATGAATGGAAAACACAACAACAATAAGGTTAGCTTTATTGTAAGCTGTCATATAAATGACTGTACCTGTTTGTTTCCCAGGACAACCACGGGCAGGTGGGGCTCCACCCTCAGCAGGCGGTGCAGCTCAGCTTTAGCCAGCGGGAGGCGGGTCCTGTCGGAGGAGTCCACCACGTACACCAGAACGTGAGTCTTCCTCAGATACTCCGACCAGTAGCGCCGCAGGTCCTCCCCGCCACCGACTAGCAGAGAAAACATTAATTTAGCGTTACATATAGATTTCACATCTGAATTCCAACACTCCAACATTTTTTTTAGAAACTGAAATGAACTTTATTTATTTTGACACTCCACAACACTGCTAGTTTCACTGTGATCACATTCCTTTCCTTTATGCAACATAAAGAGGCAAAGATCAACAGCAGCATTACTTTCGTCATGTTTTAAACATGGACTGTTACTATATGAGAGGGTTTTGGAGGTCCTTGTAGCTTGATTTAACAAATAATTATCCGTCCTGCTCTGTTGACTAATGGTGGACTGGGTCACTTGAATGAATGATTGCTGATTGATTGATTATGATTGGGTAAAATGGCATCATAGAAGGTCCAATCTCACCCAGGAAAAAAGCATGTCACTGCATTCTGCAGCCCTTCACAACCAGCACACAGTCACTGGACTCAGAAGAGTCTGTTACCAGCTTCAATGGTGGGGAAAGTTTAATATTAAGTGAAGGCATTAACTCCCACATTCCTGCTGTGCAGCAGAACTGACCTGAGGCTATAATGACCAGAGGCGCTCTGCGGCCAAACGAATCGCTGCTCACACAGAATGACTTCAAGTCGTCATTACCTCCGAGTTCAGCACAGCAAGAATTCATTAGTGCTGGACTTAATGGAGAATGTTGCTAGGAAACTGGTAATGATGTACCTGTAGGCCATGTGATGCGGCAGCAGTAAATGCATTCGGTACAGAGGGTGTAGCTGACGCCTAGCGGTATGAGCAGATTGTGTTTTAGTCAGAGAAAGCTCAGCAGGACGTTGCCCTGCCTACAGGCCGCCCTATTAAACACACACCCACATACACACACACACAGCGACACTGAGTCACAGAGTGTGAATGATGTCGATGTGTGTTTATATTTAACTCAGTTTTGCCCTCAGGCCTACAGCCTGAGGGCAAAACTACCTCAGCAATGTTTTCAATGGAGCTTGTGGCTGAATTTATATTAAAGGTCCCATGTCATGCTTTTCCGGTTATTCCCGTCCCCTTGTGTGTTATGAAGGTTTTTATGCATGTAAACGGTCTGCAAAGTCACAAACCCTCAAAGTACACCCTGTAGCGAGTAAAACGGCCCGTCCACACAGCAGCGTTAAAAAAATCTTGGAGGTGGGCGTATCTGAAGCTTGGGGATTTTTTGCGAGCAACGCGACCAACAACCAATCACATGAATCTCCCGCCCGTGACATACGAAGCAAAAAAGTTTGAAGTAAACTGGATATAAACTCCCCAAACAGGCGAAAACATACCACTGTCTCTGCCACCTCCCTCCATGCCTGGCTCCTCAGGTTTGTATCCCGGTAGGTAAATAGGGACTGGTCATAAAGCACCGGGTGATTCCCTACCGCTATAATGAATTTCTCCTCAATTTTTTGGAATATGAGGAAATTACCTGCGGTATGTCTCTCCCAGCATACACGCGGTTTGATTGGCTAGCGCTTGAACTGTCAGATTTGCATAAACGGGATTTGATTGGCTGATGCTTCCACCTCAGCTTCAAAAGTTGAACATTGCTCAACTTTTGAAGCCTGAGATGCCTGGAAATCTCCGCTTTGCTTCCCACAATGCAGTTCGGCGAAAAGTGAGGCAAAGTGACGTCACCCCATTCAAAGTGAATGGGCAGAAGCGTTGGAAGATTTTTTTAACGCTGCTGTGTGGACGGGCCGTAACACAGAAAATACCTGTCTATGCTGCCCCAGAACGCCTCGTTGGATATTTCTCTTTTTCTTCCTGGGTACAGTGCCCATACCCAAATGGACCCATTGGTCCAAATGGACCAATCCGTGGAGCCGTTACGTTACGTCCGCGGAGCCGTTACATTCCTTCCTCACACACACACACTCAATCTTTTCTCAGCTGCAGCTCCGCCGATTTCTCCTTCCTGAGACGGCGGGACGCGGCGAGGCTGTGAGTCGGTGTGTGAGCACATACACAAACTCCCAGCCAGGCTGCGGTTGTGTGTGTGTGTTCGGGCTGGTTTCGGGCTGGGTTTCGCTGTGTCTCGCTGTCTCGCAGACGGCTACTGGGCTACTGGGGGCAGGAGCTCCAACAAGCCGTTTAGGACCGAGAGTGAATACACATACTATACAGAGATGCTGTATGAGAAACCAATGTGATTTTGGAAAATTGCACAATATAAATCTATTTTAGTAGACCTCAACAATGGAATTATGATCAGTAGAAATGGCCATGACATGGGACCTTTAACTGGGCTGTTTTTACACAGCGTTTGAAGACAAAGTTCAACTAAGTTTGACTTTGAACTATGCTGACTCCCAAGACATGTATCCAATGACATTCCTGTGTTGTGTCAAAGTCTGTTTCAACATTGATTTGTGGTTCCCCTAGCCCTATTTGTAAACCTGACCCTCCATATGTTATCCACACAAAAACTTTAGTGGGGAAATACAAACTGTCTTTTCTTTTACCTGTTGTCTGGAAATGGTTTGCATCTTTTGATCTAACTAGAGAGTTGGAGTAAAAATAACATTTAAATCCTTTAATTTGTAGATTGTGTGTAGGTGAAAAGTATATCAAAGAACAGTGTTGAGGTCATCTTTAGAGTTAAAACTGATCATTTCCTTATTTAATAAAAACTGGCAACCCGACTGCATTAGTGTATACTTTAGTATGAAGAAGTGTCTGATTCAAGGCAAGTTTGTGAGCTTGAGTTGAAGAAGTTCCTCAAATGAAGCAAGAAGCAGACTAGTACATCATGTACTAACACTGTGCTAAAGAGGGAAGGTACACATTTGGGCATGAATGCACAGTTTGCATAAATGTAAAAGTAACTTCTTCCTGATACTGTTTTTCAGTTCCCTTTAGCACAAACCCACCTGATGCTAAAAAGCCTCAAACGACTCATCTAACTAATCTGATCTGCATCTTTTCATTTAGACTTTTAAGGCTTTTATCTGGATTCAGTCAGAGAAACGTGGGTCCCTGTGCACTGTGCAGCTCCTGATGCGTGTGAGTGAGCTGTCAACATGCCTCTGCATCAATGTCACCTAGACAAAGACTCCTAACATTTACTGCGCCTGAAGTGAGTGGGCGTTGACATGTATTCCTCTTACTTTCAGAGATGAGAAAAAGATTGTCGTCGCCCACCGATCTCTGTGTTCAGATCATGAATAAGTCAGCCGCTGAGCGTGACACATTCCTCCAAACTCATCCACGGAAACTCATTGTGAGACCCGCTGCAGCCCAGAGTCCCGCACTCAGACAACCTCAATGAGGAGCCAAGTGATTTATTTTTAGTGCAGCGCTGTGACTTCAGTGGGATGCTAATTAGCAGGATTTATGAGTGAGTATGTAAATACAATCTAACTGGACTCGCCTGCCTTTCTCTGAGACCCACACTCATTGTATTTGAGTAAAATGTCTGTAACAACAAGGTCACAGATTTCATGATACTTTAACCCTGAACAGAAACCTCAGTCGCTGAACAAATAAGGACAATGATTAAGTGTCAGAGATAGTATCTGTGTTGTGAATGACTCATGCAGTGAGCTTTCTGGGAGGAGATGGAAATCAGCTGATGAATGAACTTCATTATCCTTCATGTTCATTCCAGATTTCCTATTAAATTTACTAAGCTGTTTAACTTACTTACCAAAATGTGAAGCTGCTTTAATCCTGGTTTTGTTTATAACAATGTTTTGAATGACAATGTGAAAGGAGTTGAAGTTTTTATAGGGTTAAGATCATAGACTGTATATATAAATGGATGTAGAAATGGACGTTAAGATCATGAAAGAATAGAAAGGTGCAGGAATTATTTACGTTTTTTTGTAGGCCCCCCTGCGAGCTAGCTTTGCAAGGGTTCCTTTGAACAAATCTTTTGGGATTTCTTTTTGGATTATAGCAGAAAATAAACTTTAGTAGCATATTGAAACCAATTGTATTATTTTTTTAATCGTAAATGAAATCGGCAGAAGTCAAAAGCTAACGTTAGTAAAAAAACAAACATAAAGGTTGCATGATTCATGTAACCACCGCTAAGCTAAACGCAGGTTATGGTGACGTTTAGTTGTCAAATATAGCCACCTAGCAACCACCGTTTTTATGATACTGTACATGGAAGCTTTGGACATTCACTACAGACCTCACGCATCTCACTAATAACCCATAAAAAAAACGATCAAAACCAGGACAAGCTAACAGAAAGTGCCAAAATGCACTTTTTTTTTACTAATTCCTACTCTCTTTCATTATTAAAAGTAATAGCTACAGGAATTAGCTAAAAGGCAGCATGTGTTAGCAACCTTTGGCAAACATCTACACACCCTTTTATGTTTTTATAACTGTCAGTACAAGTTAATGCTAACATTAGCATGCTAACTCCTCCACATTCTCATCAGCAGCATGGTTATATCAAAGGTTTTTGATGCACTTCCTCAGGCTCTTATCCCCCACATACACGTCTCTTTGGTGTTGTTTGATGAAGAGCAAGTTTAATGAAACAAATGGCCAACTGTACTACATAGAGCTTTCCAATTCTCGACTTCATGCTGTTTGATAAAAGATAAATGCCTTTTGGCTTCCTCAGAAATGTTTGCTTTTGAGGGATAAAAGCAGTCTTACTCTCCAGGAAGTCGAGCTGGCAGGCGGGGGCGTTGAGGCTCATGAAGTTGAAGCCGCGGGTGGGCCGGCAGCGACCCCTCTTACCCGCTGCCTCCCCGGGGGTCAAACCCTGCAGCATGCTGCTCTTCCCGGCCCCGTCCAGACCCAGGACCAGGACCTGACGCTTCCCACGCTCCTCCTTCTCCTGCAGGTACAGCACACACCATCAGACACATTTAGACTGTTCATAAATACATCAATTATTCAGCACTGCATGACGAACGAGGAGAGGGAAGAAAGGCTAGTTTGCCTTCTGTGGCCCCAAACTGTGGGACATTGGATCTTAGAACAACCAACTCCATTGGAATTCTTTTTAAAGTAAATGAAAGACACTATCTTTTTAATTTGGGGTAATTTTAGTGGTATCACTGTTCATGTTTAATTGTTTTATGGTTATGTGATCTAACTCTTTCTGTTTGTTTTTTATAACTTGTTTATATCTTGTTTACTCATTGTTATTTGTATGTATATTGTATTGCTCTGTAAAGTACTTTGAGCTGTATCTTGCATGGAAGGTGCTATATAAATACAGTTGTATTATTATTATAGATAGATAGAAAGATAGATAGATACTTTATTTATCCCGAATTGGGAAATGATTTTGTCACAGCAGCAATGTGTTCAGGCATTTAACATTTGTAATTTAAAAGGTGGAGAAAAGTATAAGCATGATGCAATTAAAATAAAAACAATAATCAGCAGCATATATATACCACAAATAATACATAATATGAAATGTTCTTGATACATTAGAATGTTCTATAAATCTACAGCAACAAAAATATAGACATATATTACAGTGGCAGAAACACATATACACTACAAATTATTTGTAGTTAACTTATAATGACTAGTGCAAATGCTATGCGACACATACAAGGATTGTCTGAAATCAACAGGTGGCTTTGTGGAATGCAACACACCCTGATTTATGTAACCTTTGCTTCTGGGAAATTGTTATAGAGCTTCTGTATTTCCTGACATTTTATAGATTGTAAAATATAATTAATAGAATGTCCAATAATGAAACATAAATTATTCTGAAGTTGGCCAAGGATATACAATTATTAGAGCTATCTTTTTCTGACCATATCAAAAATGAAGTACGTCGTTTTAATGAATGATAGGCTCAAACAGTAAAAAAAAAAACTTAAGGGTGTGGAATTTTACATATAAATGAACTACTTTACATTAAATCCCTTGCCAAACCAGTTCACACAATGCTGCTTTGAAGCCTATCTCCACCAGGGAAATATCTGATCGTATAAAAGCTTTTCACACCATCTGTTATCTTTTAACTTCATGATTTGCACTTCTGCAGACTGGATCATGAAACTATGAAACTATGAAACTAAATGCATCAGACGTGTGGGAATTTGACCCTTGGTGTGCAAAAGACACTTCAAAATGTTCAGTAATTTGAATTGGCGTCTGCAAACCTCAAGAGGTATAAGTGAAAGACATCTCAAAGCAGCAGCATGATAACCCTTCTATTGGAGCGTCCTTAGGTCAGATTAGAGAGGACGTACAGAACAGAGTGTAATTGTCTTCGAGCTGACTGTATCTGCAGAAGTGGTTGATCTCAGTAAAGGTTGGCTGCTTTTTCAAAACCTCCCCGCTCTCTTTGCACCTGAGACTCCACAACCCCTCTGAAATCCTGCACACGTCATTCATCTCTTCAGAAGTCACACAAGGTTAGACGTTATTTATTATGTACGCTGCGGCTCTGTGGAGTTTAATTAGCAATTCATGTCAGCCTTTTTCACGCCGGGATGCTGTTTTTAGTTTTCTCATTAAAACATCAGACTTAACTTTGTTGATGGATGAGGAGGGTAGATCCAAAGCATAACCTCAGAATAAGCTCTAATTCAATTCGACATAAATCTACATATAAGCTACCCTGTAATTAAGTCAGAAGGAGGTTAGATGAAGGAATAAAGATAGTTTTGGTAATGAATTGTGTTGCTGGGTTAGAATAGCCTCAGATCAACATGGTGGATCCATATCTTTCTATTTGATGCAGTCTACTGGGAGACAAACCTCAAACCCTGTTGGCGTCGAAAAAAATACTAAACTTGTGCAGCTTCAACCCTTTTGCTGGAGTATCAGCATGGACTTTGTGCAAATTATCTAATTTCGCATAATATGCTTTCTGATTTCTTTTTCAAATGTCCTTTATCTCCTGCTCCCTTCATCAGTTCAAATACTTCACAGACTTTTTATTTTATATTTCAACCTTAGTTCTGCCAGTTTCTCCACATTTCTGATGAAAAGAGAACGATACTGTATTGATTTCTCTGTGTTTTTTTGTGCCACAGGGAGGAAAAAGAACGGCTGCAGATCTGCACTGCTTAGTTTCTGACAGGGATTTAACGTCTTGCCCAAGGACACTGGGCAACACATGGGCTTTATCGCTCAGCAGCGATAAAGTCAGCTCGCCTGTAGTGCTCAATAGACTTCATAGAAATGCATTTCAAAGAGGATAGACGTGATGGAAGCTTTTATCCTTTAATACACATATCATCAGTCCTTCATGTTCAACTTTCGAGGAGTTATTCTGTGTTTCTTGATTAGTGAATTAATACATTAACCTGCATGCCTTTAAACCTCTCCAAGGTAACAAGCATGAAATAAATACATCTATTTGCTTAGATTAGCATAAAGACATGAGGCAGGGGCAAATAGACAAGTATTACGGTACGGTATTGACCATAACCGTTATATTTAAAGATGTTATATTGATATCATGTTAATAATACACAAATGATATTATCTTGTAAATATTGTAATGCCCCTTACATCATTTTCTTTCTTTCCATTTACAATTTGTCACTAATTCTCCAAAAATGTACATTTCACAGCTGTGGGGCGAACATAGGATTTCGTATAGCATTCTGATAGAAGCTGCTCTGTTTTTTGCAGTGTAAAGTATCACCTTTTCTCTCCTCTCCTGAATGTTAATGTTTAATTTCATTAGACTGTTTTAGTATTTCATGATCTTAGTGTGTGGGAGGTGGTTCTTTGTGTCCTCACTGCCGTAGACCCTGGCGATGACAATGGCTATGTAAAGAGGTAATCCATAATATTATGCAAGGTTATACATTTAAGCTGTGCTCTAGTGGCCCCTTCTCGACAATGATGCCAAATCATCCACAATGGGGCATGAGTCTGCAGAAATAACCAGTCTGAATGGACTGAGACATTAAAGGCCTGTGGCTGGTGGTACAGTTATTCGGCAGCTCAATCTGTTTCCACTCTCTCAGAGATTGTTTGTCGCTGTGTAAATGAGCATGTGCCGCCCTCCCACCTGCTGAGACTCCCCAAGGTCACAAACACGCCGTTAGTCAACTCCCCTGCTTTCTGAGGCCAAAGACGTGATTACAATGCATCATGGTACAATTTGGCTCCCAAAGGAATGAAAACATTTACGCCCCCTCTTTGCAGCGAGCTGATGGCAGACACTGACAACATTATCCTCTGAAGACAGAGTGAGCCAGATAAAGCTGAGCTTATTACAGGCCGCTGCCGCTGATTGAATCTGGGAAACAAGATTAGACGCATGCAAATAGATTTTATTAAGATTTCCAGGCTGCTGTTGAATTGCTCCATTGAAGAGTCATTTATTAAGACCCTCAGTCCCACCGGCTGTTTCTGTCGGCAGGAAACACACTACAGTTATATTGGCATCAACTACATGATGTGGAACTGATGTACACATCTGGGCATTTCAAACACAGTGCATGATAATATGGCCTCAGCTTATCTACACAATGTGATCTGTTGGATTTGGGGAGGAAATAAATATCCCGCATTTTAGGGATGTAATAAAATATAGATACAGAATCGTATCACTCTATTCGTTTTTATGAAACTGTATTGATTCTAATTTAATTCATAGCTTACAGGCAAATATAAGTGTAGCGCTATGATGATGGATGTTGAATGCAAAAGCAGATCCCACTATTGTGATTACATAACAAAGTAACTTTTTTGTACTCTGATTACATGCATGGAGGTGTTTTGTTTTATATCTAAAATGTGTTTTTGAATATACACTTTATTTGTGAATATTGCTTAATGTATCACAATATATTGAATTATAACCGCTGTATAATTATATGAATCATATTGCCAGATTCTTGCCAGTGGCAGCCCTAGCCTTGGACTACCTTCACATCTTCATCTTCTTCATATTCCCCTCATCATCTTCATCGTCATCACTATGGCACTACCTCATCTTTTAATGAACTTCATTTTCATCTTTACACTCACCTATGTTATCGCCATCTTCCTCGGCTTCTACTGCTTCTCATTTCCATCCACCTCTTCATCATCATCATCATCATCGTCATCATCATCATCATCACTATCATCACTATCATCTTTACACCTTCCTCTTTTAAAGCAGTTTCACCACCAAGATTAATTCTGTTCAAAATCACCACATCATCATTACCACTACACTAATGTATTAATGAACATCATCTTCTCCACTAACCTCACAACTGTAATATGTTTGACTTGTGTTACCATAATCAAATCCACCATCATCATCTTCATCACACCTTTCACAAGTCAGTAATACATGAGCAGCATCATCTTTCTCTTCTTCATCATCATCATTCTCACCTGTCCCCTTTTATAGTTTTTTGTATTGTTTTTATTTTTGTCCCCCTCAACATCTTCCTCATCACCACTACTGCCATGTATTCACTAAACATCTCCCCCCTCATCATCCTCACCAAAATAGTATTATCACTCTGTCATATTTTTTACTTTTGTTACAGTTATACATGAGCAGCATCATCATTCTCTTTTTTTGTTCTACCTATTGTCCCCCTTATAATCATCTTCCTCATCACCACCACTGCATGTATTCACTAAGCATAATGTCCCCCTCATCTTCTTCACCATCACCATCTCAATTATATCCATACGAATTCTGCAGTGTTATCTTTATCAGTATGTGAGAACATATTTTTCACTAACCTCATAATGTAAATGTTTTTAACTAGTGCATCATCACCATCAAGTCTATCATCATCATCATCATCAAGTCCATCTTCATCACACCATTCACAAGTCAGTTATTATATGAGCAGCATCACCTTTTTTTTCGTCTCAAAATCATCTTCATCCTTACCACTCTTTTTCCTATAGTGCAAATACATCGATATTGGGTAACCAGTCTTGCCAGCATTAATTTACTTTAATTGGAAATGCATCATCATTCTCATCTAATTTATAACCAGAATTCTGCAGCTTTGTCTTTAGTCAGATGTTATATCAGTCTAAAATAGTTAAATAGTTGAATGAACACCCAAACAGCATACACAATGAATATTATCACACCTCTTTGATGGTGCAGTACTCCGCCTGTGGTGACCATATTCGCCTCTTGTAGAAGAAGTTCAGGGCGATGAAGAGAGCTGATCCCAGAGCAGCCACGGCTGCGGTCAGGGCGATGGAGATGTGCCGGAGGAGAACCATATGTGGAGCGGACCGACCGGAGACCGGACCCGGGGAAAGGCTTCCTTCACACGGACAGTGCTGAGCCTGACTGTCGCTTTCTGCTCCTTCCTATTCTTCCTCTTCCTCTTCTCTCTCTGCTGTCGCTGCTCTCTCTACATGTGACCAAAGCTCGCTCTACTTGTTTTGGTTTCGAGACGCGCAAGAAATTGGAAAGGAATGCTGCGTTCAAGTGCAGCTTGTAAACTACGCCTACTTTTGACCTGCGGCTTTTGCAATTTGAATGACAGTAATTACCAGTGGTGGAAGAGGTAGCTAATCCGATTCTTTACTTAAGTAAAAGTAAAAACACTAGGGTCTTTAAAAAGTTCATTACAAGTTAAAGTCCTGAATTAAAAATGTTACTTAAGCAGAAGTACAGAAGTATTATCAGCAAAATGTACAAAAGTAAAAGTTGTCAGAATGCATACTGGCTGTTTTTACAATATTAGCCTACATTATTCTGGATATAAGTTTATCCTGTTTTTATAACTAACAAATACATTTAGGAGCATTTACATGTTGTAGTTTGTCAATGTGCAGCCAATTACTATTACAGTACTGCATCGTATCTATGCGTTTTTATATGTACAAAGTAACTAGAAACTATGAGTGTTACATTAATGAAGTTTAGTAAAAAGTACTAAATGTACCTTCAAAATGTAGTGGAGTAGAAGTGTAGAATAAAATACATTTACTCAAGTACAAGTTTTTTAAAAGTTTACTTAAGTACAGTACTTGAGTAATATACGTAGTTACTCTATACCACTGTATATAACCATTTAAAAAAGACAGTTGTGAGAGCAGGCTGTCAAGACAACATCAGATAAAGCTTATGTATACAAAGTGTTAAACAGTGTTGACCTGACAGATCCCATCGTTTTTCTGAGCGTCAGTAAAAGCCTCACTGTCTCTTTTAAAGTCATGCGAAGACAAAGAGGTGAAGTGCTCCATCTAGAGTCAAGTCATTTCTTTGCTTATTTCAATATTTAATTTCTGTCATTTTAAAGTTTAAATATTTGGAAATGTCTCGAATCCATCTGGTTCAGTGTAGTAATATAATTCTGCATTGCTTTGGAGTAATTAAGTCACATGATATGGAAGCTGGTGAAAACAATCAATACTTCTCAATGATAAACTGCTGATTTTCACAAAGATATTCATACAAAATAAAGGAAGCACTAAAACAAATTAAAGTAGGTACGTTTTTTGTATCAGTTGAACTGTGTGTAATGAGTTATCTTTTTGTGTTAATATTGTCAATGTTAATTAATCTTAGCATTTATGTAATCAATATGTTTTGAATTGCTGAACACTTAAACTACATTATGCCTCTAGTAACAAATATGTGCTTTTCATACCTATAAATTAATGTGTCATATTCAAAGTGTTGAGGCTAAATTGCTGTCAGGATATTCTTTTTTTTTTATTTCAGCTAAATCAACTGGAGAAATGCATCCTGTAAAACTGACCTGAAGTCATACTTTATTGAATATGAAGTTGATCCATTAAGCAGTTCTACATTTTGACCTGCAGAGGGCAGTGTTGCCTTGAAAGTTTGTTCATCCACAAATCCTTGAAGGCAAGTGGGCTATTAGTATAAAACACACTATTTAATTTTTTTTTTTTCGTTTGTAGACATATACATACATCATAGGAATCTAAAAGAAACCAAGTCGTCAAACTGTCTAAAACTACACAACAACGAAACTGAAACAATTATAAATCTATAAAAACAATTAAACATTTTTATTAGAAAAATTGACAAAAGTTAACGCAAAATGATGCAGTACTTGAGTTAAATGTACTCAGTAACTTAATATCACTGATTCTGCATTTGAAAAGTATGACCGGAAGTCTTATTTTGCTGACCAAATCTGTGAATTAATATTTTATTTTGAAACGATAACCGGAAGTCGTGGTGAATGTTTGTATCTTGACAGCGGTCGAACCGGCCGAAGTCATCGGGACTCGGGGAAAGACTTTACCGCCGCTGCAGCTGCCACCGCTCCTCTCCTGTCCGGCTTTTAAACGGATAACTAAACAAAAATAACGTACAAAGTTTCTGGAGGATTTACCGGATTTTAACGACTGTGGATCCAGCAGTTACTTTTCTTCTCTCAGCGGTGTTTACTCTGTTTGTTTCCCCGAGGCTAGCATCGGTTACTGCTGCTAAACATGGTGGCCTGTCGGAGAGAAGAAGAAACGAGTCCAGTTTGGGGACTTTAGAGGAATTCTTTTGGGACGGTTCTCCCTGTGAAACACCGCTGCTCTGGACACATTACCAGCCCTTTTATTATTTTTGTTTTATCTGGAGGTTTTTAGGACTTTCTTGCCTTTCTGTTGAAACAAGCTGGTGTTTTGTGGACCGTGGATAATTGTTAAACTTCAGAAGTTATCACTAAAACACCTTTAAAGTTTTTCACCCGATTTGGGAAAAATTGCAATAACATGCACTTGGAAAAACTCGTCAAATAGCGTCACGTTTTTATTTATATTACGGATGATTCAGATAAGAATTGATGCACAGCCTGCAGGAACTACTTTTTATCCTCTTGAGTGTCTTTTAACAGTCCCCCCCCCTTTTTTTTTAGGTTTGATTCCTTGTTAATCTGTGGATTATTATGGATTATTATTATGATGGCCTAATCCAAACTGCATCAAACTGGGAATTTGGGGAATAACTGCTGATACTGTTGCTGATGATGATGACAGAGAAAAGCGATGGTTTCCCTTCGTTATGATTTTGAGTAGAGAGGAGTTAATTACATGGAGACTCGCCTGACATGCCAAGGAAGGAGTTGCCACTACCTGAGGGTTGGGAGGAGGCCAGAGACTTTGATGGCAAAGTCTATTACGTTGACCACATTAACCATTGCACCAGCTGGATCGACCCCAGAGACAGGTAGGAGTGTGTGTCTCTCTGTGTGTGTGTGTGTGTGTGAGTGAGATCAAGATGTTGTAAAACTACTGGAAAGATGGATGACTTTTGACCTGCTGCAGGTTATCATGAGTCAAGCTACAAGCATCTTATTGAAATAAATCACCTGTCCTGTTAAAATAATACAAATGTGACTTGTGCATATTCATATAAGGAATATAGGACATTGAAATGGACAACCCCTGCAAATATGCATTATTACCATAGACTGTAAATAGATTATTACATATAATGTAACACAATTCAATGCAGCAGTGGCAAATACAAAGTTGTAGCCCCCTCCCAAAAGAAATATCAACAGCTAATTGGAAAACAAATTGGAAATACTTTTACTACCAAGGATGGATAGGCTGTTTTTTCAGTCATTTGTCCATAATTGGAAGAACATTTTTTTTGTAAAAGCTCATATTGGACCTGCTTCCAGCTAACACTAGTTTCGAAATGTATCTCTGAATGTGATTAATGATACAACTATTTTCTCCTGCAAATGTTAAGAATGCAAATCAAGAGTTACTCATATTGTCCAACCAAAAGTCCAAACTAGCCAAATATTCAGTTGATGTTTAACAATGGATGTGAGCAAAATCAGAGCATCTGGATCTAGTGAGTGTTTGGCAGTGTTGCTAGAAAAGTAACTGAAACATGAAGGCCTAGTATACAGTAGTTACTGAAAATAGGCCAAAATGTACTCTGCAAAGCATCCAACGCCATCTATCATCCGACCGCTCTGGGACAAAGATGCTGAATCAGACCTCTTCTAAAAACCAGACACCCATGTTTATACCTAAAACTAGTATGACCATCATCACCAAACCTTATGACATTTTACAGCGCTATGTGTAGTTGTTTGGTACACAAATCAAGTCATAAACAATGTCGCCAAAATATTTTCATACAGTGTAATTCATGTTGTCTTTAATGTCTTCTCTCAAATCTCTTTAATTGTATTTATTAGCATGTCTTAAGCTCCTGTGAGATATCCCAAAGGATTTGGCTTGAAGTCTTATACTAAAGGTCTTTATCTGCATCACACTTTCATCTTCAGGCAATGTGTCTTATTAGGTTATTTTTCTTCTGAGGAATATTGTGAATTTAAGTCTCTCTCTAAAGGTGTAGTCTTTTAATACAAAAAATACAAAAATAAGAGACGGATGGGGGGGGACATAATCGACATAAGAGCCTCAGCATTCAAAATAGAGCTGCAACAATTAGAATCAATTAATCATTCACCTTTTTATAATCCATGTTTATTTAGAAAAACCTTCAAGCAAGAATGCCAAAAAATTGTCAACATTCCTCAAATGCAAAAACTTGTTGCCTAACAATCAATTAAATACTGAGACTATGGACATTTGGACTGAGATGTTGGTCGAACAAAACAAGGCAATTCAACATGTTAATTATTTGTTTACCTTTAAATGTCAAGTCAATTTATTAGGCAGCATACATTGACCTTTTGTCAGGCAAAATGTATTTAAGAAATGCCATTGTAATTATCAACAGCTTAAGGTCGGCTTTGAATGTCTTATTTTGCCCAATTTAATCTTATACTGACCGTAAAGTCATTCAGTATTCTGTTTTGGATGACAAAGAAACATATCATCCCATCTGAGAATGTGGAACCAGACAATGTTTGTGACTTTTTTTTTTAAAGAAGTAACATTATTTATTTGATTACCACCAGTGTTTCCCACAGAATTTGATTCTATTTCGGGTGGCCCACGCACCATCATTTGAGCTTTACTGGTCGTTAACCTGGAAACGGCTTTAAGTGAGGGTTATAAAAGTCAGTATCACAATAAGAGATCATCCTAATGAGAACAAGAGCAGCAAACATTCCTGCAAATATGATGTCTGCCGTCAGAGCTGTAGTCTTAGCTTTTTTAATTACTGATTCAACCTTGAAGCTGGTTGTCATCCTTTGGCGTATTCTGAAAGCTTCAAGAACATCTAGGGGATGATAATTTGATAAACATGGTGTTCCTTCTCACGGTGTACTCTGCTTTTAGTGATGTCTCATAAGCCTTGAAACAGGAGGCAGGGAGTAAACAGATGGCAAGGCACCCTCAAGTCATTAAAAAAAGAGGATGTTCGAAAACCCAGAAACCTTCTCATGAGTCAGTACCTGTTATAAATATCCCCGGTAATACACTCTCTTGGGGATGCTATTGGGTTAAGTGTGGTTGTGTAATATCATGCAAATTGTGAGTCTTTATTTCTACTTTGATTTATGAATGCTAGCTTGATGTTGTATTTGTTTTCATAACACCTAAATAGCGACACAAATGACCTCAGTAAAGCACCGTGCCAATGACCTGCCCTACTAATGAACCACAAATCACGTAACATCACCATCAGTATTTTGTTTACTGCCTTCCACTCAGCCTTCAGTTTCCTTTTCTCGTACTGCATCGTTAAATAGAATACACCTAAAGAGACTTTAAACTTGAAATGAGAAATCCATCATGGTTGTTGTTTTTTTGGTCAGTTTTCAATTATTATCATAGACTAGAGGAGCTGTGAGCTCCTGTTTGTGCTTTCCATGGCGCTTCAACAGAATTAATCAACTTTATTGTCAACACAACATAACCAAGAAACAAACAGTGAGCAAACGTTAAGGCACGGCAAATAGTGATCTAATGTTGTCGAGGAATACTGCAGCATAACTATGCAAACATAACTTAAAACAAATAAATGTGACTTAAGTTTTCGAACAGAGATTGATTACTCACAGCATCTCAAACAAGTTTCAGGTCTTTGGCAGTTTATCTTTCCATAGTTAAATGGATGTTAGCCAATGATTCTATAGTCATTCAAACCTCATAGTGAAAGAAATGGAAGCCAGTTGCTGCCTTAGAGGTTAAACACAATAAGCCAATGGCTGCCTTTCAAGGGGCCCTATTAAGCAAATGTTCAGGTTTCAAAATTGTGTTTTTTAATGCTCAAAAAGCTCTTTATTTTTCTCATGCTGCCTGTGGTGCAGCACCTCTTTTCACCCTCTGTCTGAAACCAGAGCCCAGTCTGCTCTGATTGGTTAGCTGACCGGCTGAAGAGATGTCCCGCCCCTATTAGCCTATCACATACAATGTGTTGGAGCACTGGCCAAAAGAAGTACAAATGTTACGTAGTGATGTCACTATGTCGTGGAAGTAAACAAAGGAGTTCAATTGATCGATTTTAGCCTTTGCAGACCATTTACATGCACACAAACCTATATAACACACTACAGGAAAGGGAAAACCTAAAAAGCATTATCGGGCCCCACAATAGTTACAATCAATGGAAGCCAATGCCTGCCTTGAATATTAAACACAAGAGTGAAATGGATGGAAGTCAATTACCGTAAGATATACACCATTTGGAGTCCAATATATATAATATATTACAGTTGTCCTGGTGGGACATGTAAGTAATGGATTTTATTCATTAAATAAATAAATAAATAAGTAAATAAATATATGATGGTGGAGTCGACGCACTCAGGGTTTCCCACACATAGACTTTACTTGGGCGGGCCGCCCAGGTATATTAACTTCCGCCAAAGTATATAGCGAGACCCATTTAGGTTTTATCTTTTTTTATCCGTCCGCGAGCACGACGCCATCTGCGATCGATTAACTACCCCTCCTGTACCTGTTCGCTCTGCTATCGCGTGAAGGGTCTGCTTTATGCGCTCCACAGTAACTCCGCTGCGAGGCTCCGGCGAACAGTATATTTCCGATCTGCGGGAAACACTGCGCACTCTTACATGTTCCAAATATTTTTACAAAATACTTCAATGAGTTTGTTAAAGGGAAGAAATGCATGATTTTATTTGCCATAAAAGCATGCTTCATTTCAATTCCTGCAATTACAAATCAGGTGTGTTACCTTTTTTCCTCTCTCTTATAGAAATCCATCAGTGTAATAGGCTTAGCGTGCTAAGCATGCAGCGCGACATGACACAGTCCCACTTGTACAAAACAGCCTCCACAGTATGGAGGGGGGGGGGGCAGTTTTCATGGTGGGACTGGTTTTTCATCTTTACCAGTTACTTAAGACCCCTCGGACTTTGACACCAAATCCCTTTAATGGCTTATGTCTGGAATTCTGGAGGCTTAGGGGAAGTTTTTTTCTTTCTGTGGGGAGGTTTGTGTGAGAAGACGCACCAATTCTGTACTTATTGTATTAGGCTTACGTTGTGTCTGTATTTAAACACATGTTCTATGCAAGTAGAGAGCATTCTTAACTGACTTTACATTAGTTTGTAAGTTTTTCAAATAACAAATGCCTTTCCACACTGATTTTAGTTTAATTTTTTCCCGATAAATGTTAAGTAAAATGTAGCTGTAATCCAGCCTTACACTTCTTCTGTGTTTCCACTCCATGGTTTGGCACAGATCTACTACATTCAGTTCACTCTCTTTTGGATTCCTGATTGGAAAAGCTTTGGATAGTATCTGATATCTGGTACTTTTTTTGGTCTCAATTCAGCCGAGGCCCTGAGAGAGCTGTGCCGATTAGCTCACGTCAAAACACTGTAGGTCTCCAAATGATCCGAGAAATGTCACAAAAATGGCAGCCGGTAAATGCACGTTATATAATATTTGACGAAGTAAAGATGTTCTTCATAGTCTCCGGTTAAAACAGTAATTTCAAGCGTTTTGTGAGCATCTGATGACCTGAGGAAGAAACTTAAAGAAAAGACCCTGGTATCAAAAGTGAGTCAAACAGTCGTACCATGGGTTGGAAACACAACATTTTACACTTAGAGGCAGCGATAAAGACTAGAAACCTTCCCAAACAAAGTCCTTAAACACACACACACACACACACACACACATTCCTGAAACGCACGACGTGACGGACAGAGCAGCGCACACTCGCCAACCAAAGGCCTGATTCATCTAAAACCCCTTTCACTGCTTGCCAAGGTGCACGGGGTCAAAGTGCAGCCCTGCAAACCGTTAACTTCACTGCACAGA